ATTTTGCATTCAATTGAGCATTTACTTGTTCTTCCTTGTTCCATTGATTAAAAGGAATATCAGTTTTAACTACATTAACAATACGTGACGGTGATGAATAACCAGTTAAAATCATATGCCATATGCGAAAATCAATCAATTGCAAAAAAATAGACATGCGAGTTTTCATACTATCATATGCCCGCTCCATGTCCAACTTGATAACCATCAATCCTTTCTTATTTCTAGAAACTTTAAACTTGTGTAAAATTTCCTTAGCCAACAAATAATGCTCTGAAATAGATCTACCAAGAATAAAAGCCATTTGTTCCTCTGAAACCGTCGTAGAAATACACTAATTTAATCTATTCTCTAGCATAGCAACAACAAGCTTATAATTAGTCTTACAAAGACTAATTGGTATATAGTTGGATAGAACTAACAGGTTTTTATTTTAGAAATCAGCACAATAAGCGTATCCTTCCAACCCGTGTTCATATGTCCAGAAATCAGAAATTTTTTGACAGCATTCCAAAGTGTTTCATATACAATAGTCCAATAACATTTGTAAAATGAAGAAGTAACTCCATCCATACCTGGGGACTTATTGTTTCCTTGTTGAAAAACCAAAATATGCAGCTTATCCAGAGAAAAATTTGCAGCCAGCAAATTGACATCCTCTTCCTTCAGCATTTGGTTTTCTGCAATTATAGGCCATCCCGACAGAGTGCAATCTCTGGACTTCCACTTTTCTTCAAAAAATTGTAAAAAGGCTTTCTCTATTAGATCATCCTCTTATATCAAGTTATTGTTGGCATCCTTAACTTGTCTTATACGATTTTCATTCCACCTTGCCGACGCATAATTGTGAAAGAGCTTTGAATTGGTATCTCCCTCTTCATGTCATTTTGTCTTAGCTCTCAGGTTCCACCAAGTAGACAATCTCCTCAATGTAACATTGAGTTCATGGACTTTACTTCTAAGAAGGAATAAATCAGCATTTGACCACTCCTCACATAAAGCTTCCTTATTTTGTTACTCCAGAATTTCCTTTTTTAACTCCTCCTTCAACTGATTTAAACTCTTACACTTATTTTTCTTCCAAAAAAATAGTTCCTTAAGAGTTCTGTGAAGCTTTATATCCAGAATTTCACTCTCATCACCGAAATCCTTCTTCCTCCAAGAATGTTGCAATATGCTTCTAGCCGCCGGGTATGATCTCCAAGTTTCCTCAAACCTGATTACTCTAGATCTGTAACATATCCTTTCATCCACTTTGAGAGTGATTGGACTATGATCCGAAGTCACCCTTGCCAGGTTCCTGATAATAGCTAGAGGGATCTTTTGTAATGCAGTCGAATTCAACAAGCATCTATCCAACCTTTCCCAAATCCTAGAAGCTCCTTCCTTATTATTACACAAAGTGAACCTTGGTCCAATGCTTCCAACATCATGAAAGTCTGAATCAGCCATAAACTTCCTCATCTCTCTAGGACCTTTAGAGAAGATGAACCTCTTACCACCCTTCTTCTCCTCCTTATTCAAGATACAATTGAAGTCCCCCCCCCCCCAATAATGGATGGCATAGAGCCCTCCATACCCTTTTCAAGCTGGCTCCAAAGAACCTCCCTCTCCTTACAGCATATGCTACCATAGATCGTAGCTACCTTCCAAGATCCCATAGAGGGAATAGTAGAATACCCAATACCATTTGAGAAAAACTCTCCACCACAAAAAATGAAGCAACCTTCCTATTCCATAGTACCAGGATACCTCCTGAGATTCCCACTGCAGAAAAGTGAAAAAACTCCCAATCATTACCAATAAGGCAATCAACATCTCTCTTATCAATATTGCTTAGCTTTGTCTCCATTAACCCTATGAAAAAAACATCCTGATCCTTGACAACCTCCTTCAAATACAGCGATGCCTCATTCTTCTTGGCCTCCCTATAATTCCAGAACAAAAGGGAAGACATTCAAACCATCTTAGGGGATCTCTCCCCACCTGAGAGATTCACCTTAACCTCCCTTGTTTTCTTTCTATGATCATGCTCAAGAGGACCCAGTGACTTCACCTCTTTGGATAGCATTGATTTGGTGGCTCCACTATATACGGGAATAGCATTACTCATCTTCCCTTGCATAGCCTGAGCAACAGCCTCCTTCACTTCCATGATTTCTTCACATCTTTCTATATTCCCCTCTTCAGTATCCTCACATAAAGCATCAAAACGATTAGCAACAGCAACATCTATCATCTTTTTTTTACCAGCCATTTCATTAACATAGATATTCTCCATTACCATAGGAGTTTTACCAGCATTCAAATTTTTGGCTACAATCTGCACCATTTCACTTGGCATTACCACAAGAGTTGTATATCAGCATTCAAGTTTTCAGCAACAATCTGCATCCGTTCACCTGACTTTATCTGAGTTTGGCTGATTAATACAATAAGCTCTGTATGAAAAAACTGCTGAAGCAAGTTGTAATTCCAGCTGCCATCTGATATAAGATGCTGTAAAGTCATACCTTCTAGCGTAGCACAATATAAAAATATAGCCCACTAGTACCCCCTCCTATTCTACCAGCAATTCCCCCATTTATAACCTTCTTCTTCTTAAAATGGACGTGTATCCAAGGACCATACTCAAACTTTATTACTGGAAACTTTTCCTCAGGTTTAGATCCCTTGTCGTCCTCTGTTACGGAATGAGGATCCTTATTCACCTGGTCTTTAAGACCATGGATAACATTCTCCAAACATTCCTTTCTATCATGTACAACTCTGCCACACTGATAACATAGTAAATCAATTTTCTCGTATTCAACTCGCTGGAAAAAATCTCCCAGCTGATCCTTCAACCCAAACTCCATTTGGTGATTTCTTCTCCAAATCTATCTTGACACAAACCCGAGCAAACTCGCGTTTTCCCCATCTGAGCGTATTACCATCTATATACATTGGTGATCCGATCCGAGAAGAAATCCTCACAATGTTTTCCTCATCCCAGCAGTATAGAGGCAGACAAGGAAATCTTATCCAGTCAGGAGCGGAGATACCTCTGAAAGAAATTGGATAAAAAAAAATAGGGGACCATTTGTCCATGCCGACTATATGCCCACTAACATACCATGGGCCACCATTTAAGATTTCATCTACTGCCTCCTCCGACTTGAAAGAACAAAGAATCTAATTCATCTCGATTGATGTCATGTGAAACCCACCATAACTGCTCCATTGTCTCCTCATCTCCACACTGCAAACAGAGAACAACACATTTCATCCCAAAACTTTTATCACCACCAAATTCTTCAAAACCTGTAAATTCTTTGTTTCCATTTCAACATTCAACTTGACTACAACCCCATCATTAGATAGTTCAAAGAAATGTTTATTAAAATCAATCTTTATATGCTTCGACTTCACTCAGGCAAAAGCAACTTCCCCAATATCCTCTAATCTGATATTCTTTTCCATAATATTAGACGAAACTCCCTTCGTCATAGCTCCCTTCATTGAGTTACTATTATCTTCAACCACCTGTGACTCCAGATCATTCACAATTTAATGAATTCAATTCGCCTCAAGATTTCCAGAAATCTTCTTATCCTTTACAATCAAATCAATCGACGATAAGGTATCAAGAAAAGAAATACCTGGTCCCTTCATCACATCAGCATCACTTCGAACAGTTGCATTGTCAATCTACACATTCTTCCCTTTGCCTTTACCAAGAACATCACACCAACCAGCAGGTCTAATCTCCTCCCTGAAATCGAGACTTTTATTCAATCTACTAGTGGTACGAAGGGTACCAGGTGGTCGAACAACAGCCATGTCACCGATAAAGGAATGCCGGTGATCAACCGGCAATCAATCCTCCGTCCGTGTAGAAAGTGCAAAAAATAAAGAATTCAAACGCGGCAAATTTTCTCTCTCTAAAATCTTAGAGCTTCTTTCTCTTTCGATCCCTCCATAATAAATGTGCTCACAAAATTTTCATATGATTACTCAAAAACATGAATTTTGATGTAAAAATATATAAAATAAAACAGCCAATAAATGCAAAAGCAAATACATATAAAAATTGAAAAACACACAAGGAAAATGCACAAAACCAAAAAGCACACTAAAAAAATACATTTCTATGTTGCAGAAACCTTTATTTAAGCATTTAAATTAATCACACCAAGCCTTATTCTTAATGTACTTCAAAGTATCAAAGCCTAGTGGTTTTGTAAAAATGTCTGCAAGTTGTTTTTTAGTTGAAACATGATTGAGTTCAATTTCTCCTTTGGATACATGATCCCTTATGAAATGATGTCTGATGTCTATATAGTTGGTTCTTAAATGTTGAATAGGATTTTTAGAAATACAAATGGCACTACTGTTATCATAATAAATGGGAATAGTGCCTATTATTAATCCTAAATCAATCAACTGTTGTTTCAACCCAAGTACTTATGCCACACAACTTCCTAAGGTAATGTATTCAGCTTCATCAGTAGATAGGGCTACGAATTTCTATTTTTTACTGGACCAAGAGACTAAAGAATTTCCAATAAATTGATATGTTCCATAAGTACTCTTTTTATCAACCCTACAACCTACAAAGTCCGAATCTGAATATCCAATTATTTCAACTAAAAAGCTAAACTTAGAATACCAAATCCCTAAGTTTTGAGTCCCCAAGAGATATCACAAAATCATTTTCACTGCTGTTAAATGTGATTCTTTTGGATCTAATTAAAATCTAGCACATAAACAAATACTAAATATATTATCATATTTTCTAGCTATCAAGTAAAGCAAAGATCTAATAATTCCCCTAAATTTATTTTCATCAATAAATTTTTCCTTTGGGTCCTTATTCAACTGAACAAAGGAACTCATAGGTGTACTAACAGGTTTAGAATTGTCCATTTCATACTTTCTGAGGATGTCCTTAATATACTTCGACTGAGTAATAAATGTACCCTCCTCAATTTGCTTAATGCTAAAGCCTAGAAAGTAACTCAAATCTCCCATTAGACTCATCTCAAATTCACTAGTCATTATTTTAATAAGTTCATCATAAAGTTTTTTATCAGTAGATCCAAAGATGATATCATCAACATAAATCTGTACAATGAGTATATCTTCTCCCAATTTCTTTAAAAATAGAGTTATATCTACATTTCATTTTTCAAAAGATCTCTCATGTAGGAAGGTGCTCAACCTCTCATACCAAGCCCTAGGTGCCTATTTCAATCCATACAATGCCTTTTACAACTTAAACACATAATTAGGATATTTTGAATTTTCAAAGCCTAGAGGTTATTCTTCATAAACATCCTCTTAGATTAACCCATTTAAAAAGGCACTTTTAACATCCATTTGATACAACTTGAAAACTCTAAAATAAGCAAATTCTAATAAAACTCTAATTGCTTCAAGTCTAGCTACAGGGGAAAAAGTCTCCTCAAAATCAATCCCTTCAATCTGATTATACCCCTAAGCCACCAATCTAGCCTTATTTCTAATGACTACTCCTAAGTCATTCATTTTATTCTTGAATACCCACTTATCCCAACTACACTTTGATCCTTTGGCCTTGCAATTAATTCCCAGACTTCATTTCTTACAAATTAATTTAATTATTCTTGCATTGCCAAAATTCAAAATTCATCAGAAAGTGTTTGATCGATATTTATGGACTCTACGATAGAAATAAAGGCTGAATGATTGACTTCTTTACTCAGTCCATGCCTAATCCTAACACCCTCACCAGGTTCACCTATAATCAATTACTTTGGGTGGTTTTTAGAAAATCTCAAATCTCTAGGCAAAGAGTTTTATATTTCCAAATTTTCATCCAAATTTATTTTCTCAATCTTTTGGGAGTCAATTTCTATCTCATCCTCTTCAACTATCAGCTCTTTCAAAATTTCAGATTCATCAAATACTCCTAGACTTACAGTTCTAATTGGTCCAAAAAGATCCATACGCAAAATCTCCAATAGTTTACTAGTCATAGGATCCTTATTGAACTAAAAAGATGACTTCACCTATTTTCCTAATTGACATGCATCGCAAAGGTGATCTTTAGTAAAGTCTAGTTTTGGTATACCTCTCACTAAGTTCTTTTGGGAATCCTCCTAACATTTTTCATGCTAGAGAGATAAAGTCTCCTATGCCCAAGCCATGACTCATCAGAAATAGTTTTTAAATAAAAAGCAGTAGGAGTTTTGATACAATTCAAATCTAGCATATAAACATTATTTACCCGTATACCATGCAAAACATCATTACCATTCAGGCTTAATATGCAGCTAGTATGAAAAAATTTAACACAATATCCTTTTTCACATAGTTGACTAATACTCAAAAGATTATGCTTTAAGCCTTCTACTAAAAAAACATTTTCCATAAAAAAGTTTTTTAAGTTTCCTATCATACCTGATCCAACCACCTTCCTTGTGGTGTTATCTTCAAGGGTA